TAAATGTAACAGATACTCTCTATTGAGCACTAGCCAGTGCCAGGCCCCATATCAGATGACTCACATATGTTATTTGATATTTACCAAACTTATATAAGGGTGTTGTTATTGTCCCTATAACATACAATATATAATTTAAAGGAGAAAAGCGCAAAATGGAGAGTCGAGAGCAGTCTGCCGAAGCTCACGCAGCTGGGACGGGGCATACTTGACATTGACGACTATAGTGAGAACAGCTCCCAGTGAGAGATGTTTACTCTGGGCCCTGCAGACCCTGGGCTGGATGCCTTGGCATTCCATTTCATCTCTTCACTTCCTGACCCTGTACAGTGAGCACGATGATGATCCCCATTTTACAGATAAGGAAACTGAGGCTCAAAAGAGTCAGGACTGAAACCCAGGACTGCTTGACTCCTGAGTCTGCGTTTTTGTTCTCTCTGCTAAATTGCTTGGTATGTAAGAGTGGTGGCTCTGGAACCAGCACATGTTGTCTCTACCCTTTACCAGCTGTGTGACCTTGTGCAAGTCACAAAAGTCTCCACACCTCAGTTTCCTCAACTATAAAATGGGAATAATATTAATAGTGTTTTCTGGGGGGTTGTGTGGGTTTTGTGTGTGATGCATGTTACATGCTTGATCCACTGCCTTGCAGGTAGGAAGTGGTCTGTAGAGGCCGGATGCTGGGATTGGCATGATGCCACGGCCTCGTCTTGCAGTTGAGACAAGGCCACTTGTTCAGGATCCCACAGCAAATCCCGGTCTGGTGGACGTGTGTTGTTGGGGTGGAGAGGGGGGCCTCTGGCTCAGGCCCTGACCCTCCCTGCCTCTCACCTCTCTCAGCAGGCCCCCCAGTACACAGCTCACCAAGGCCAAGGATGTGCTCACGCACAGCTCCTTGGGGGAAGGCTCAGGGCCCCGCAGGCGGTGTTGCCCTTTCCGGGTGCGGTTCGCTGATGAGTCCATGTGGGACACTTTGCTCCGCTACTGGGAGCGCACCTGTGCAGGTAAGCAGACAGGAGGGGGGTGCAGGGACTCCAGAAAGTGCCAGCCTGGAGTGGGGAGGGCAGAGGCCATGGCCCTGGGCCTCTGGAGTGAAGGGGTGGCCTGTGAAGGCCGAGAGACCACTGACCCTGCAGAGGAAGCACCTGAACTGGTCTCTCTGGAGGATGTCAGGGAACTTCTAAGGCTAAGGAGGAGGTCCGAGGTCTGCAGAGGTGTCCGAAGGTGGACCATGCCAGGGATCAGCTGAAGTGGTGGCCCAGGAAACACTGGCTACCCAGGCCTGGCCACCACTAAAGAACTTCTTGCTGCCAAGGGGTCCCCACACACTGTATCTACCTGCCTTGGACCCAGCACCCACAGCCTCCCGAGCCCCCCACCCCACCCCCACCACACAGCCTACACGGGCTGGAGAAGGTCCAAAGCTACGGGAAGCATCTTCCTCCATATCCATGAAGGCAGACCTGAGGGGCCTGGCTGAGAGGTATCCAGCAAGGTCGAGAAGAGGAAACCCCTCTCCTTGGGATGGCTGGCACCACCTGGTCCAGTAAACAAGCTAAAAACCACCAGCCCCTGGATATATGGTGGCCATTTTGCAGTTTCCAGCAAGTTTTCTGAAGTGGGTGTCAAGAGGCAGGCGGGAAGAGCATGTCCTTGCTCTGGTACAAATTTGACCCTGGTCCACCTTTCTCCAAGGGCCCAGGCTCTTCTCGTCCCAGGATCCGGCAGCCCCCAGAGCCTCCAGCAGTCAACGTCCTGCGTCTATTTATTGATCACCAACTAGGCACAGCTGCACCAAAGCCTAGCTGTGGGTGAAGCCGTGCAAATCTAGGACCTTCCCCAATTCAGGAAGGATCCTACCCACCCCCTTAGAGTTACAGGAAGTTGGAGATAGAAGCTGTGACTTTGCCCAAACTTCTGGTTGTTTGATGTGTAAACCAAAGGCCAAAGAGCAGAATGGGCTTGTGCAGGGGACGCAAAAGCCAGGAATAGAAGCTGGAGTGCCCCCGAGCCACTCTTGGGAACGCAAGGAAGGACAAGCCCAGCAGAAACAATTTCATGCAAATGGCAGTTGGCTCACATGCGGCACTGTTCCTTGTCAGCCGCTGGTCACAAGGAGCTGTGGTCATGGACCAGGGCACCAGGTTCCACAGGATACGTGGGGCTCAGCCCGCTGCTTCCCAGCCCTTACATTCTGAGGCCACCCTGGGGAATTCGGGGTCCTTGGCCAGCCCAAACAGCAGCCATTGGGCAAGAAAGGCTCCCGGCCCCGAGACACCCCGAGATACCACTCCCCGCAGTATTCTCAGCATTGTCTCTGGCCTGCCCAATGCCGGAACGGGGGCCCATTTGGGGCTGGAGTCCTTCACTCCCCGCAGTATTCTCAGCATTGTCTCTGGCCTGCCCAATGCCGGAACGGGGGCCCATTTGGGGCTGGAGCAAGAGTGGGGATGCATGTGTGTGTGAGGCGGGCACGGCTTGGGTAATAATGGCAGAAACAGTCACGCAAGATAGTTTTAAGACCCAAGGCTTCTCTGGAGACAGCCAGAAGGCGCTGGGGAGCCTGGAGTTGCCATGGAGACAGGGCTCTGCCCCTCCTTGCCTGCCAGAGGGGGGGGTGAGTGGGGGTGCCAGTGCCCCCTTCCTGGGTAGGAGCTCACCACGCCCTCTCTCCTCCAGTCCAGCAGAACACCATTAAGAACAGGACGGTCACCCTGCCAACAGTGACAGAGCAGGTGTTCAGGAGCATCGGGAGATGGCTGGACAGTTTGCCCAAAGACCTGTACCCCAGCAACAAGCAGGACACCATGGCCGGCCCCTCGGACTGGGACTGCCCCAGCCTGTGAGGCTTCAGGGAATGGGACAGGACTCAGAGCATTGCCAGGGCTCCCCCTCCTTATCCTGCGGACCTTCCTGTCCAGCAGCGGGCGGGCTGCCAGCCATGGGTGGGTCAGGGATTCGGGGTCCACGAAGCTCACAGGCTCCTGTCTCCCCCAGGCCCACCCAAGAGTCACAGAGCCACCTTTCTGAGGATGCCTCCATGAGTAGCAGCCTGCCCTTCATCCCTAGGGCCACCATCCAGAGGCAGTGGAGGCCCCTCAAAACCTTCCTGGGCACCCACAATGTCCTGGAGCGGGTGGGCAAACTGCACAGCTCCTGGAGCCGGAAGCTGGTGAGCACCTGCTGGTAGCTGGTCACCTGGAGCAGCCCTGCCAGTGGGGGGGGCTGGGGCTGACCCCTCCCTACATGCTCGGTTACTGCGGGGCTTGCAGTGGCCAGGCCTGGTGTACCTGCGTCTCCCTCAAAGTGCAGCAGGCCAGGGTGTGGGCTCTCCAGCTGGGCTGCCTGGTTTAGACCCCAGCTCCACACTTGCAGGCTGTGGGGCCTTTCTGCACTTCAGCTTCCTCCTCTGTAAAATGGGGCTGACAGCAGCGCCTGCCCCTGGGGCCGCGGTGTAGAACCCGGGGAGCCCCAGCTCCTGCTCTGGCATCCCAGCAGCATCCAGCGGATCCTCTTCTCACTCTAGGAGTCCTTCCTGCCCAGCTTGATGCTGCAGTCGGTGCTGAAGCGAGGCCACCCGAAGGCGTACCAGCTCCTCCTGCCGTCCCTGACACCACAGCGTGCTCAGAAGTGACTGTCACTGCAGCTCTCACCCAACGGCGCACACAGGCCCGGCAGTGAGGATCGCCCTCTCTTGCCCCACAGATAGATACACATCCCAGGTGGCTGGGACCTGCCACTAGGTCTCACAGTACAAGCCTCTCCATGAACTGATGGCTGGTCTCATGTGTTCCTGGGCCTGGGGAGAAAGAGGGTGGGATTACAGCTGGTATAAGGCTGAGGACAGGAAAGGCACCCTCAGGGTCCAGGGCTTGTTCCAAATGAGCTCTTCTTCAGGAAGGTGGGAGACCCTGCCACACTCTTCAAACCTTGGAGCAAGTCTCTGTTGACCTAGATCAGCCCACATGAGAAGCAGGGACCTGCCATGACCTGAGCCTGGGGGTGGAGAGCCGCTTCCCTGCCAGCCTCCATCTTTGACTGGCTCACCTCCCACCATGGAGTGAAGGCATCCAGACTCCAGCCCTGGGGGAAAAGAGCCCTGTGTGTGGACGGACGTTAGTCTTCTGTGTTTCCAGGTTCAGACCATCTGGTCCCTGGAGGGCAAACATCTGGGTGGGCTGGAGCCAGATGGTTCTTTCTCTCCTAGTCTGGGGTTGGGGGCAGTGTTTGAATCTGCATCAGGGGGTGGCAAAGATGACATGATGGGCACTGCCTGGAGCTTATCTGACTGCTGCACTGAGCAAGCACCCCCACTGTCACCCCCATAAGCCTGCCTGCCCCACTTGTGTTCCAGCCAGGGACAAACTTTGAGCCCCCTCCTCCTCCCTCCTTCTTGAAGTTGCCCTGTGCCCCCTTCCCTCTGCCACTGCCCAAGATCCAGGTCTTTACTGTCACCTCCTGGCCAGTGAGGAAACTGCCTGGGCATCCACAGTCAGGCACCCTGTTTAGTAGGAAAGGAATAGGTCGCTAGAGGTGGGATTTGGGCTGGACAGTGCTGGGTGGGTGATCTTGGGGCCTGATGGGTTGTGGATGGGGAGGCGCCCCAGCTGCAGAAGAAAAGAGATAGATCTGGGCGCAATTTGGGCAAACCCTATGGGGGACGGGATGGGGGCAGTGCTGCAACCGCCCCTCCACAGGGTCCTGGAGTGGGATTTCAATCCCTGCGATGTCCTCCTCTCCCCTGCATCTCCCTTTCACAACCCCGCCCCCCAACGCAGGCCTCCTATTTCCTGGAGAGCCCATGGGTCTTAGAGGAGGCCTGATTCTACCGCACCTCCTCCCGGTGGCCTTGCGCAGCCCGCCTCGCCCTCCCTGAGCCTCAGTTTCCCCCGCAGGGCCGCGGCGGGCCCCCGCCCCGCCCCAGCTGCAGCGCCGCGCCGCGCCCACGCGGGGGCAGTGT